GTTCCACGACCAGGACGAAAACCGCATTGTTCCTCCTGAATCCGAGATTCGACTATCGGTCTCACCCTCCTCTCCAGTACAAAATTGCAGTTTCCAAGTATATGACATGTATATTTCTGGACACATTTTCACACATGTCAGTCATTTTTCATTTTCTGATTTATTATGTAGTATTAATTTTTCCACATTCCTTATCAATTTCTTAAACTTGTTGTGCACGCCGACCGGAGAAGCAGGAACAGGGAAGCGAGGAAGTAGGGAACGAGGGATTTATTGTAGGGATACACAAGGCAAAACATAATGACGTACGTAAGACTTCAGTGACCTGACTGGGGAAAACATACCTAACACAGACTTAAATACATTGGACTAATGACAACAATCAGAAACAGTTGGTAAATACGGGGAATCCACACGGGGTTAACGAGGGGGCGTGGCACACGAAAGGAGAGGACAAGCAGCGCAGTACAAAACTGTTCTCATTTATGTCACTTAGCCAGAAATTGACATTCCATTACAATTTGGAATGCAACAGAATGCTCACTTCACAAGTTAATAAGCAGGGAATTTTGGGTGGTTCTGCAATAGGTAGGAGAGTTAAAGCAATTAAGCCAGGTATTGATATTTTTTTCCATGGGTATATTTCTTCTATATACATTTTAAAATTGAGTAATGGCAAAGTCTCTGACCTTTTGATGTACTTGTTAAATGTTCTCTTAAAATCTTCTCCTACAGATGTCACCCCTACACCAAAACCTCCCGCCAAGCCCCCCAAAAAAACTCCCGAAGGTAAGTGTTTTATTCCAAAGCATTTCTTCAAAATCCCTTATCACCTGTAAGCTAAACACACTGAATATGATTGAACTTGACTATGATATTTTTTTCAATTTAGATGAATTGGATCTAAGTGACGCACTTGGTCCTGGTAAAGTTGTGGGTCCCACATGTATAATTGGTTGGGGGTATTTATGTCTGTCTGTCTTTTGGTGTGACACAGCCTTGGAATTGTTTTTGCTAAGCTGCATAAAATGGGTCTTTCTCATGGATTCACTATGCTGGGATCATTCTGCTTGCTTTCCCAATTCCATAGTTCAAAATATTCAATTTTTCCTCTTTAACTGCTACTGTGTTTCTAAATGTGTCGGCAAACATATATATTGTGTGCAAGTTTTTAGAGTTTTTATTGTGACCTGTTCAATTTTAATGACTTGTATGCATTCAATACATTTACTTAATTCATTGTATAATTTCAGGTGATTTATGGAATATGTTACATGAAAGAAAAAGTCCAGGCTAAAGAAAAAAATGCATATTTGTAATAGAAAAAATATAAAACTCTTGAAACTTGTGAAATTAGACAGTACTAATTATTTATTCAATGCTTTTTTGGTTGTCAATTAAAAGAGATACAATTAACAAACCTGTGTTTCTTGATCTGGTCATTCATACCGATAAAGTTATTCTTAAGTCACATGAAAAGTAGTTTTCAGATGGACAGGAACCAGAATGGTTGTCAGGACCAGGATCAAGAAACACCAGTTTAGGGGAGGGATGGTAAGGGGAGTGAGTAAACCTTGAAGAAGGTCTTGCTACTGGCTACAGTCCAGGGCTAAAGTTCCTGCTTTTGATATATGTCATTCACTTCTTATTTCTCTCTTCAGCAGACCCAAAGACTGAAAAACCAAAAATAGTCCGTCCCAATGATGGAGGAACTGGTAAGACAGTGTTGTGTAACGTCTTGTTCCCTTCCCAGCAATACCTACTTTTTTTCTACTTATGCTGAACAGAGATCAGTGAATTTCTTTGTGATATACAGGAGGTGGTACCTTTGGGGATGATGACCTGTTTGATTTGAGTCAAAATGAAGGCTATAAGCCTGATGCAGGCAAAGGAGGTCAAGGTGGAGGTAAGGCCCTGTTGCTCTTTGCTTCACTGTTTTAATGAATGATGCTGATGCAGCTGAAATGTAGGTCTAAGGCAGTGTTTCCCAACGCGGTCCTTGGGGACTCCCAGATAGGTCATGTGACCGGGAGCAGGAAGGGAGCAAAAACGCGGACTGTCTGCGGGTCCCTCAGGACTGAATTCAGAAACACCGGTCTAAGAGAATCTGAATGGAGTTGAGAAGCCCAGAAGCTTAAAACCCAGAATTAAAAACAAATGTGCATTTCTGGAAATTGAAACGAACCATCTGTAGAGCTGAGTTCTTGGTCTGTTTTTGTGCATGGCTAGTATGTGCTTGGTACTCATTTGCTCCATGTCTTCTCTAATTTGCTTCCAGGTCGTATTGCCGACCCCTCCGGAGGTACATATCATTTCAGCTTCTTTGATTTGCTTGGCATCCCTTTTGTGCCTTGATAGACTCTAAACTGCCGTCATTCCTTGTGGTTTTGACTTCCCTGTTTTCCCCTTATTTTAGGGGGTGGAGCTTCCCAGCCTCAGGGTAAGTATAGTTATGCCATTTATTTAATTCTTTGGATTTGGATCAGTGGAAAATTGTATATTTCATTTTGAAGTGAACAGAAAAAAATCTTTCCTTCATGTTCTGTTTTTTTTTTTTGCTTGTTTGGTTATATTTTTGTTTATTTCAACCTTTTGAAATGGTTTGTGGGCCCAGTGTGTTAGGATGCTGGGCCTGAGAAACGGAAGGTTGCTGGTTCAAATCCCAGAGCCAGCAAAGTGATTTCACTTCTGAGCCCTTGAGCAAGGCCCTTAACCCCAATCCAAGGATTCTCTGGCCCTTCCTTTTTTTTTGCTTAAAAAGTGTGCTCCTTTGTCATGAAGTGTCTGCTAAAGAAATGTAATGTGATGTAGTATGCAGATCTTCTTCTGCAGTAATGATGGCTTGGGCTTTTTTGACCGGTTTGTTGTGTTGTGACCGCACACTGTGTTAAGAATGCGTGGTATATAAGTGACCCTTCAGAACTCTCTACCCTGCTCTGAAAATCCCATTGGCATGTAGTGCAAGCTGGGAATACTGACACGTAGACCACTGATTGGGGGGCATTATAAAAATTGTTTTATGGGGGAAGGCAGTGGGGGAGTAGCAGGAAGTTGCACTGGTATTCTGTTGCTATTTACTATTATTTTAGGTTTATGGAACTTCTAAGATTTATGTTATAAGAACTAAAACTATTGTGATCTGGACATGTGCCAATTACAAATAAATAGCAAACACCTCAGTCGTAACAAGCAAAGGTAACTGTGTCTGTGTTTGGATCAGAAACTTCGATCCTGCTTCGAAAATCCCATTGGGATGTAATGCAAACTAGGAATACTGACACGTAGACCACTGATTCTACATTGTAAACTGTTGTCTTTTGCAAAACGGAATTCCTGCAGTAACAATTTTCTAATGCAAATCAGATCACTTGTTGCAATGATCATAACATTGCATTGTATTTATAGTGTGCTGAATGGATAATTGCATCTTCTTATGGAATTTGCATGGTTTTTTTCAGATGGTTCCTTTAGGCATGCATAATATCAGAAAAATTGCAATTTTTGTGAGCAAAAATTATTTAAAAAATTACACAAAGTAAAACCAAATAGAACTTCTCTACCAATAGTCTGTCAAATAAGATGTTGCCGAGAGTAGAACCAACATAAGATAATCAGTGCCAACAAGTTACTTGCTTTTACTCAGTTATCTCTATGGAATGCAAAATATTTCCATACAGAAGAAGGCAAATGTCTTTTGTTGATCATGTCTTATTCGTTCTTCCCCTCTCCGCTTGCGTATGTAAAAATTCTCACAAAAAATACCACACTGTCAATGAGTGAGTTCAACAGCAGTGGCTAGAATGATTATAATTGGCTGAGAGAGTGCATGCAGAGCTCATGCAAAAGTAACACCGCTAAATTTTATACTGTTTTTTTTTTCTTTAATATGTATTATTTAATCTTTTTTATATGCTAGTTAATCTTGACATGAACTAATCTCGACCCAGATGACTGTTGCAGTCCTTGTGATGTGACAACTGCAATGTCGATACTAATGCAGGCCTAGTTGTCTTAGTTATCCTCTAGATTTGTTCCTTTTAGGTCATGCACTGGAGTGTTTCTCAATATACGTACTGGATCGTATTTTTGTTCTCGCGTACCTGCTTTACGTTGTCGTCCATTGCTGAAGACCAGTTTTAATGTTAAGAACCAAAGTACAGAGGATGGTATAAATCCACGGAAATTGTTCTTGCCCCACCTCAAATATCAAGGGTACTTTGGTTGCATCCTCACCAAACGAAACCAATCCCATGATTCATTGCGCCCCAAGTTTGTTCTTGGGAGGCAGGACTGCTCTTGCCGAGACGATAAGTACGGTCTTTGCATTCTTGGTATTGAGTAACACCCCCTTAGTCATGTATGCATGCTCACACACACACACACACACACACACACACACACGCACGTGTAGGGTAAACATATCCTTATGGGGACCGCTCATTCATTTCAATGGGAAAAATGCTAACGCTAACTATGACAACCTTAACCCCTACCCTGCCCTAACCATAACCATAAGTAACCAAACAAAATACAAGAGTTTTTGCATTTTTAGTTTTTTTATAGCAGTCACCGATTTTTATTAAATTGAGTTTAAGGGAAAAAAACGGGTATTTATCACATTGTGGGGACACACACATATACACACACACTGCTGAAGTTCCCACTTGAGGAGGGAAAAGAACTTTATGTTCTCTCTCACTTATTTTTTATCATTCTTGTTTTGGTTTAAGTATGCTTAATTGCATCATTTAATGTTTCATTTTAAACTCAAGATAGTAAATTGTCAATGTGTTTTTCTCTTTTAATATGGACAGACTGCATTGACAGATTTAAAATCTGCTTTGTGCTCTTTTTATTATAGGGAAACAGATGGCTTATGTGATATTCTTTGTTAGAGTACATTTTTGTTTCCGACCTAATGGAAACCAGGAAACCTTGTAATTGGGAAGTTTTCTGATTGTTCTGGAGGAAGGTTTTTCTTTAATGATATTCACAGGTTACAGCGCTGCCTGGAAAAAGACACCTTTTCCTGTTGATTTTTATGTGTGCTCTGATATTTCGGATTATTACAAGTATTGTAGTAATTTAGTTAATTTGATACTCAGATTTTTAGTCTTTAACCTTCACGACGATACATGGCTTAACTGATCCTTTTAACTGGAAGTGACACATGTAATTCTGTGTTCTAAAGGTGTATATTTATAAAATATAGAAAAAGATGAATGGCTAATTGATACCTTAGTTCCACATCTTAGATGGCTAAACCCCTTGTGCTGACTTTGATAACCAGAGTTGGATTTTAATATTATATTTCATAGACATTTGTTAGGTAATGGGTTGCAAAATGCACTACACTTGTGCGTTTACAACCACTCAGGTGGTCGCTCTTCTAAAACTTCTGCAATTCTTTCATTGCAGATTTAGAACTTCTGTGGGACCAGATCCTGAAGCAGCTAAGCCATAGCATGCCAGAGTCCCTTCTTATTTGGATAGACAACTTTAAACAAACAGTTGCGCCTTTGTTAGAACGAATCAAGGAACTCCTTGATATGAGCCAGTGATCAAGATTGTATCTTGTGATATCAGTCGTCTTTGGTTCTGCATTGTCTGGAGTTATTTGTTGACAGTAGGTCACTTATTTGGGGGAGGGGACTAACTATATTATTACTGGACTTTCTTTTAATTCGGAATTTATTTGCTAGTCATTAAACTTGGGGTTTCTTCACATGGAAGCCAAGTGATAAAATCCTAATATGAGGGTTAATGTGACAGCCTTTCTGCAGGTAAAGGGAAAAATAAATATTCCTGTCTCTCTTGGATGGCTTAATGTTATATATTGATAGAGAGGCCTAATGTGAAGTCAAGGACCATAACAGAATAGACCACAAAAATGTAGTTTATATGTTGGGGTTAGTATTTGTCTGGTATCCCACCCACATCTAAGTACGGGTAATTTTACAATTGACAAATTTAGAATTTCTAAGGGAAATCCAATTAAGTAAACAAGAATTTGTGTGTATTGCAAAAATACATATGTTTATGGAATTTCACTTTTAATAGACACATTTTATTATAAATTTACCTGCATTCATATCAATGTTGTAATTAAGACTTTTTTTTCTCCTTTAATAAATTTTCAAATGACTATTCAGTGTCTTAAAGATTAAGGTGTTCGGTACTTAAAAATCAAGTACTTATGTGTAATCATGTATTGTACTCTCAACTGTATGTGTATGGTTTAAACCAGGACTGGACAGTGCTCTGTTCACCAACACACCCTTTATGTTTTACCTGGTATCTCCCTAGAAAGTATTGAGGTATTGAGCGTGTGAGAATGAAGATTGCATGTTTCTCTTTGAAGTGTTTCATAATCTGACATCTTTGATTTAGAACTTTTTTTTTCTGGTTTTTAAATTCTAGCACCTAGATTTTTTCCCCTTGGTTTAAAAGCACCACGATGAAATAAAATATTTTAAAATCATGAAGTCTTTGTCTTTTTCATTTAGCTACTCTGCTTTGCTTCAGTCATCAATGTATAAGCATTGTTTTCATTGTAGTTGTTTTCTGCCTTTCAGAATTTTTTATTTTCATGTTTTTATGGCCTCTTTCAGCCCAGATCACTTTTTGATCTTTTTTTTCTCCCATATTATTCACTATTGTAACTGACTGCTGAACAAGATTATTTTTTAAAGTTTGCGCCCCCTAGTGGAGTGTCTTGTAATGCTGTGATAAAATTTTTAACTATTTATGTATTTTTTTTTTTTTTTTCAGAAAAACCTGGTCAAATTGCTGGTATTGTGAGTGCAATCGGGGTGGCACTGATCGGTGCAGCATCCGGTTACATTGCATATCAGAAAAAGAAACTTTGTTTCAAAATGCAAGGTGGTAAGTTCCTTATGAATTCATCCTCCTCATGAATTTTGGGCCACTGCAGTCATATGTAAAAATATTTTTTTATGTGCTGCTGGTTTCTTTCTGAAATAATAATGATAATTCCCCCCCACCCCACCCCCTAGGTGACCCAGAGAGGGGTGTTAACACCCAGCGTGGGAATCAGTCTGAAAGCAATGGTAGGTCATAATGTTACATGTGTAAATTTCCATAGAATCCCAGAAACTGCCTCAAAATTACTAGCCTTAATGTTCTCTATGTAGTATTGACAACTGTTTTGATGCTTCCATAAAATTCATTATGGAAATATCTCCCCTGCCTTTTGTCATTACAGTTCTCAGCAATCTTCTCAGAATATCTTAATTTCTTTCCTGGTAAGACTACTGGAAGCAACATACAAAACTTCACGTGCTCTAGAAGTGAAACCAAATACTAGGTCATTTTTTTATTTGTTATTGTTTTGTTTTTTGACTATATGATTCTAAATGTCCTAAACAACAACTAGTTTGTTTAAAGTTGTCATGTGTTTTAAGAGTTGTTATGGAAAAAGACAGGTGCTTATTTTTCCTCAAAGAATTGACACAAGCAGTAGTTATGGAATGTTTTGAATGTTTATTTGCAAACTGAAAGGTCATCAAAATTAATTTAAGTATGTTGTCCAATGATGATACTTTGGAAATGAAGTTAGGCTAATAATAATTTTAAAAATGTATATTTTGTATAATTGCACTTTCATGATGTACTTCAGGTTTGTTTTTAAAATGGTGACCATTACACTATTACAACGTGCACATTCATATTATTTTTTTTCTCCCATGCCTTTATCTTGGTACCCTAGGTTAGCAGTCTGTGTGCTGTAAATATTTTTATTCTCTATGTATAATAACAGTTATGTGTCAGAAAAAAATGCATCATTCTAATTCATTGATTTGTATGTGTGATGCAAAAAATGCCTGAATTTTTATTAACAACATTTACATTTAAATCAAGAACCAAAGACAGACCAGCAAAGGTATAAAGCTGAAATTATGTCAGATTTATTCATCTTCTGCATAGAGCTTATATTTCAGTTTGGAATAATCATCTTATTTACCTTTTAAATGCTAAATTTTACATTCTGCATTTTCTTTAAAGGTTATAGTGGTAGATATCACACTTGGCATTCCAATAAGACATATCTTCTATTGTCCAAAACAAAAAACAGACTAAAGGATAATGAAATTCTAATAAACAACTATTTTAAGCAGTGACAATATAATTAATACTAAATGAATATTGGTTGGTACATGTTTACTAATATATTCTGTCCCCTCACATTGTGGACACAGTGGTTTGTTCAGCTCTTCTCTACAGACCAAATAAATGTTTGTTTACGGTCATGTTCTTTTCCAGGGTAGAACCATGTGTAAGAATGAAACCAGGCATGTATCAGTGTTACAGTATTGAAATTGTAACTTCAATTTGTGCAATCATCAACTTAGTCCAAAATATTAAAGGATTATTACAAACCTAAACTGTGTTTTCAATTATTTTAAACAATGACAGTGACTCGGGGTTCCTGTATTCCTGTTGACTTGTACCTGTGGGGTCAGGGGTGTGAATCCTGCCCTTGCTGTGTGTGCAGTTTGCATGTTCTCTGCTGTTATCCAAGTTTCAACCAAGTTGCCTGGTTCCTGTAGTCGAAGCAGCTAAGTGAACTAGGGAGGTCAATTGCCATATGAAAACTGTGCCCTGTTTTGGGCCACATTCAGGCCACCCCAGTGACCCTGTCCAGGTCCTGTTTTGGGCCACATTCAGGCCACTCCAGTGACCCTGTCCAGGTCCTGTTTTGGGCCACATTCAGGCCACTCCAGTGACCCTGTCCAGATCCTGTTTTGGAGCCACATTCAGGCCACTCCAGTGACCCTGTCCAGGTCCTGTTTTGGGCCACATTGAGGCCACTCCAGTGACCCTGTCCAGATCCTGTTTTGGGCCCACATTCAGGCCACTCCAGTGACCCTGTCTAGGATAAGTGGTTGGAAGATGGGTGGGTTTCACTGTTAAAATCTGTACTTTATATTAATGTTTCAAAGTGACTGCAAAAGACAAGAAGGTTAATCTGGCACGAGGATTTCAGAGAACTGAATGAATTCTTTGTTAGTGATGTCACTGTTGCTAAGCGCTGGTGTGTGCTTGGCGAGGTTCACTACAGTGATATTTACAGCAGTGGATACCACAGCCAGAGTGCTAACACCTAACAACTGCTGTTTGTTTGGGCTGTGGTGCAAGAATCTCCTGAATTTCTGAGTAATGGGCCAATGGGTGATGACTAATGTCATAGGACAAGATTCCTCAGGCACTGGTGCACGGCCCAGCATGGTGGTGTAGCGCTCACACCTCTGGGACTGGGCTTTGATTTTCCACCCTGGCTCCACGTGTATGGAGTTTGCATATCCTCCCTCTTGTGGGGATTTCCCCCCGCAGTCCAAAAGCATGTGTGCATCAATGGTGTGAGTGTGCTCTGCAGTGGGTCACCACCCTGTCCTGGGTGATTCCCTGCCTTATACCAGTAACTAATTCTAGGACAGTTTCCAGACCCCTGTGTCCTAGCATAGGACTAATGGATATAGAAAATGGATGGATAGCCACTAGTGGGCTGTGGAACTGTGACACGAAAATGTGGTTCAGTGTGTAATGCACCATAACCCCCCATCCCAACATGATGAATCATGAACAGCCAGGCGCTGTGGTTGGAAAGTTTGAGAAAACCTATCGTAGGATTCATATCTGAGGAATGTAACCAATAACTGTGGGACACCTAGTGACACCTGCAAAGAAGAACAAGCCTTATTAAAGTAACAAATCACAGGATCCCATTAGAAGTGCTGACCTAAGCCCTGCAGCAGTGCAGCTTCCAAGTCTCATTCACACAATCTCTCACTCGTTCTCCACTGGTATTGCTCAGCATAGAATCTTTAAATCCATCAGACAAAAAAAGAAGAAAAAAAACAACAGTCCAGACTCACGGTACGATTTGGACTAATAAACTATGGTAACTGGAAGTGTGATGCTATACTAGTCAAATTTTGTGCTATTTTTATTTAATTTTTTTCGTTTTACAGTGTTTCACCTTTAATTTAATCATGCTCTCTAGGAACACCTTATTTGGGTGGTCGTGCCGTGTATTATATCTTGAATATGCTTGAATATGAAGATTCATGAAACTGGACATATGGCTTTTGATCACTTTTTCCTGTTAGTTTGACCAGGTGAAGGCCAGGGTAACTGTGTTCTGGCTCCTGCAAGCTGACACACAGGAAGATTAGATTTACATTTTCATACAGTGTTTTTACACTTTTACAACCACAGAGCTGGTTAAGTGTTTTTTTTCAGCACCAGGGCACCTCTGGGGACTTAATCCTAACTGACCTTGAAGCATCTGTGTCAGCTGTAGACAGGAGCGTTTCTAGATATTGGGGAAAAAAAATCGGGCTAAGTTTACCTGGGGGTACAGTTTTATTTATTTTTTTAAGGGAGCATCGGGGTAAAATAATCAGGGCTTAAAATGATGCCCATGTCTATAGATAAGAAGCATAATTCACATTGTCAGTTGATTTAGGAAAAACAAAAGAATTATTAAAAGCTGTTGATTAGTAGCAGAAAGTGACAGAAAGTGGGAGAAGCAATATTTTCACTTAAAGGTTGAATTTCAACAGTTTCAATTGCAAAAGTCATATAGACCCTGTACTAGATAAGTAAACAGAAGAGAGACGGCTGATGTATGGATGAATTACACATTATTTTTTAACCATATAATTAAAGACATTCCACACCAACAAATTACATCTTACCAGCACTTCAAAAGGTTAGACGGATAATACTGTGATGTGCCTTAGGCTGTCTAAATCTCTCCCATTTGAGAAAAAGAAAAATTTATTGGCAGTTAATCAATACCTGTGACTTAACTCCTTAAAAGTCTCTTTGCTAAGTAACATTGCTTTAGTCTGAATAGATGGATTATGTTGTCTCTTGCTGGAAAAGTTTTTGCTGCAGTATTTACAATAACTACCACTTTATTAGGAGGACTTTTATAATACTGGGTAGGACCAACGGTGTAGTGGTTAAAAACAAAAAAAGGTGGGTAAACTATACATGTCTGTGGACACACCTTTACATGCCAATATAACAGCTGGATGAGCTACCTAAGATCCAAGCTGGACTGCACTACCACTGAAACCAAATCATAATCACCTTTAGCTGACCAAGCCGTAGCATGATCCTACGCAGTTGCACAGTCACACTCCCTTTGCCTACTTTTATAGTTGTACTTGCACACTTGGCATCACTGCAATGATTGTAATGAAAACACTGCTTTTTTAATCTAAAACTGGGCCAATGCTATAATTGAATATTCAACGAATATTGAATGTTTTGGATATTGATAGAAGCACATGTTGTTTTTTACGTACAGATGGAGCTGTTTTAAGGCTACATTAAAATTTCGTCATGTAAGCTGGCACATTGTGTGCCTTCACTGCGCTGCTGACCTCCAGCTCTTCCTGTTTCTCTTCCTGTTTGTTTGCCTCCTTCTCAATGAGTGCATTCAGTGTGGAAATGCAGAAGTTTGTGTCCAGCCAGCACAAATAGAAATACATTTGCAGTGATTCAGATAGGTTGCCTGTTTAATGTTACGTCTATTAGCCAGCTCACTAGTTTCGCAATGTTGCAAATCGCATAAACCTGTAGGCTTCAGTACTCAATGATAACTAATGTTACCCCGTTAACTAAAAAATAAAGAAAAACCTGGCCTATTTACCATTTTCAAACTTTATCTGTGATTTTCTTGGATGACTTTGCAATTCTTGTGAAATGTCTGATGTCCATTGCTCCGGCAAGCACACTGCAGGATCTGTCATTGATTTGATTGCTCATAAGTACTGACTATGTTGTTAAGGAATGAAGAGGGAGGAAGAGGGAGGGAGAGGGAGGGAGCGTGTGCCAGTGTGCTGAAAGGGTGAGTATGGTATGCAGTTGTAGGGTAAGGCAGTGAACAATGCAATATATTTTTGACTCAAATTTTTAAAATTACATTATGATAAGAGAGTAAATGATCATAAAAAGGTGTGTAAACAGCGTTTAGGTGCATTTACCCTTCACTATACCCCTGGGTAGCCCCCCCCCTTCAAACTCAGAAATATTCCTTATTGGTTGTAGTCCACTTTAACATGGTTGCATCACGTGCAGATGTGTAGCTGCACATTCATGCTGCTAATCTCCCATTCCACTTTATCCAGACGGTGTTCTGTTTTATTTAGTGGCTTTCCCATTATCCTAATCAGTAGCCTGATCATCATTTTTAAAATATATATTTGTTATTTTGGGGATAATAGTGCAACTTCGGGAATGGACTTGATAATCACCTTGATAATCCACCTTTATGTAGCTCAAGGTATGACGTGGAAATCATGTGATTTCCGGCCCCACAGCGGAGGTCCCCCTAGGGGAGTCGCCCAGTGCTCTGCAGCCAGACCCTTCTCATCAAGGTTGGATTCATCTCAGGAAGCTGGAGCCAGGTGTGGACTATTGCACTGTAGTTAAAGAACACAGACACGGGTACAGCGGTACAACATAAAGCTAGTACATGCATCATCTTCTTTCGCAATGTTATATATGATTAGCTTTTTCTTGTGATTGGTGTCATTTCTGTCCTTTAGTTATTCTGTCTCATTTACTCATTTGTTCACTGCATTGTTTTTCTGTTCACCCAGTGTCTCTTTTGTAGCTTTTTGGCTCCAGATCTACACAGGCAGCGGCATCTGCCAAAACATTGATGAGTACTCGGACTTCGTCCCCCACCCAGTTCATCTGCGGCTCTATTGTTTAATTCTTATTATTCGTTTCCAGGAAACACAGAAACCCAAGTCACAAAGCAGGGGACACACATATAGATACTGCAGGCTATTTCAAGACACAAATTAACCTGAATCATATGTCTGAAAATTTGAAAAAATAAATAAACAAACAGGAGTAGCTGGAAGACACCTGGAAACATATATTCCATCCATTCTCCATACCCCTTTGTCCCAAGCAGGGTCACGGGAGTGCAGAGCATATCCCGTGCACTTTGCAGACACTTCTATCCAACATGGCATATAATTGAGAAACCAGGGTCAGTCAGTCCCTGGAGTAAATGGGGATTAAGAGCCTCGCTCAGGGGTCTGATGGTGAAATCGGTCCGTCTGCCAGAGGATTTGAACTGGTGACCTTCCAATCACAGGCACATCATACTAACCTACAAAAAAAAGATTGCTTTGCAAAACATGTCATGGGGGGGCATACTGATCATTGTTTGTCATTTCATTATGCATGCTTTCACAACAAGCACAAATCTTTCATAGGGATGGGATCTGAACCCATGCAGGCAGATCATAACAGGTCAGCAGTTCATCTCATTAACCACTTGGCCACCGCATCATATATACTGTACAGCATGTGCACTTTGCTCATTTATATTATACGTATTCAGCAAATGTTT